AATTTTGATAGTTGTTAGCATAATAATAGATAGCATAATAATTGATAGCATAACAACATTTTTTTTTTACATAAAAATAGCGCTTTAATATAACTCGCGAAACAATTTCGGCAGTGTTTCATTTAATTAATTTTATAAAATATAAAACGTAATCATTTCCAGGTGTGTTTGCAGTCGTGAGTCTCATGATAGGTTCGGTAGTGGACAGAGTAGATTGCAATTCATTTTTGCCTGAACAATTATCATTCAATAGATCATCTGCATTACTTCCGATGAAAAATCTTTCTTCTGGTATTATTTATGAAAACGTTTCGATATCGGCTTCAACCATTTTTAATAACTCATCTAACAAAGTTGAAAATTTAACCGAAAACGTAGATCTTGAGATGTGCAAAGTGCAGCACGCGCTTACGTTAACATTCATTGTTGGTGTATATCAGGTATATTTAATATTTAATATATAATATTTAATATTTTATTTCAATTGGCCAAATATAAATTTATCTTGAATTTTCAGTTCTATTCAACATACGTTTCAATTTTTCATGTTTAAAAGTTTTTTAATTTTTGATGTCCCGTAAAATTGAAAGTGTAAATTTCCATCGTCTATAATCATTTATTTTTTTTACAAATGCCGTTAGTAATTAACATCGGTTCATCCTAAGTCACAGGTAAAATTATTTGCATTTTAGAGTTTTGCTACAGTATAAACGTCAATCTGTACTAAATAATTAACCTTTTGAGAGGACCTATTAACATTCCGCCTAAAACATCTTCAAACCGTAAAGTTATTATTTTTGTTAACTTTTGTTGGTTCTTGTAATAATAGTTTAAAGTGATATCATCAACAGATCATCAACCGTGTATCCAGCGATGGCTTCGTCTTTTTCAAATCTTGGTCCAAATAATCTTTTCGCCCAATCATTGTGTCTTACTTTTTTTTACTCCTACTTGATTAGTTTTCCCATTGTTTTTTGTCACTTTTATTTCATCCATCTTTATCAAAAATCTTGCTCATTGCATTCTTTTCGTTTTTATCTGTTCTTCATCTGATATCCTCATTAAATCTGACACTTGTAGCCTTCTTGACCATTGTTTTTTGCATATATCCAACTCTTCGGCTATGTCTGTGTTGTTTTCCCTATGTCTGCTTCATATTTTATTGTTGGTATGCATTGATATGCGTCTATTGATTGTTTTCGCTCCTGACTTTTGAAAGGTTCTTCCGCCTAGCGTCTTTCCCCCTCTTTCTTCGTTTTTAGCTTTTATGATTATTGAAGCTTCAATTTAATAGCTTGGTCTATCTTGCGGGCAGTGTCCAGGGATTACTTCGTCTTGTTATAGCATGATTCTGTTTTTCATGTTAGTCATACTATAAGTCTACTCTTTTTTTAATTGGGTACTTTCACATGTTCCAAAACCTTTAAAATTGTTCCTACAGTTTAGATATTTATCGTCTGTATACTCTGCATTTGGGAGAATCATGAAGACCCGTGTTTTCCAAGACGGTTGGTTGTAAATAGTAGCCACTTCGATTCACTTCCATAGATTTTAATCTGTGCCACAACCATATTGTACCTTTTTTATTTTTTTATTTGTCACTGGAATTCATTCTTTTCATTATTTACCACTTCTCAGCTGACCTTATATCTTTATTTTTTGCGAATCCAAACCAAATGGTTAATTTGAGCATTAGAAACATTTTTAAAATTTATTATTTAAATTTAGCTTTAGTTTTAACTTTTGTTAATAAAAATAATTATTTTTCAGTTGCTGATGGGTTTGTTTCACTTTGGGTTTCTTACTGTTTATTTGTCCGATCCGCTGACCAGAGGACTAACTACTGGAGCTGGAGTGCATGTATTCACCAGTCAGATTAAGCATGTGTTCGGAATCTCTACTGGAAAATTCACCGGACCTCTTAAACTAGTTTTTGTGAGTTTTAACTTTGAAACCTTTTTTTATTCTCATTATAGTGAAGTTTATTTAGTTGACTATTGCTGTGAAACAATTTTTGCTGCTATAGAGGAATGTTTTTGTTTTTCTATAGTGGTCATATTCTATGACTTTCTCTTATTTGTAAAACTTAAATCAGAAATTGTTATCATTAGTTATGATCTGGTTGAATCACAATTTTATTGTTCCTTTTAACATTCAATAAATATTGTCTGTTTCTTGTTAGCTTACTTTCTATACATTTCTTTCACTTTTCAAAATTTAATTTCTCTTCAAATTACTACGTTCAAATGATAACTAGATAAAATATAGAATGACAGTATTCAGTTATGAAAACTCATAAGCTTAAACAAATTACAAGCAGTGCAATGCAAAAATTGCCAACGTGGAAGACAAGCTTTTTTTCAATTTTTGGTTACCTTAAATATTTTTACTTTTTAATTCCTTTTAGACGATATTAGCTGTACTACGCTTACGTTTATTATTACGCTGGACAAATTTATGACAATCTGCGTCATCCTAGTCGAATTTAGAATTGGATTAAAACCATTTTTTCGTTTTTTGCTCTTTTTTTGGTTACAGATGTTTGGCAGAATATCCAATAACAAGTTTCTTGGGTTCTGAAGCGAAACGTCAGTTGTAGAATAGCACTCGACTTATTTTTCAAGCAACAATTTGTTCTTTCGATAATTGTGATGACAAGTTGGCTCAGATGGTGGTAGCGCTGACTTGAATTCATCTTTAAGTTAATTATGTGATTTCTTTCGTTTGTAAAAACGTGCGTCTGCGGAATGTGGTCCGATATGCAGAAATGTCTTTGGGATGTTGAGACCTGGGAATTTAAATTACCTGGAAATTAATAAATGTTAACAAAATAGTAGTATTTGATTTAAATTGAGTTGAACGTTATTTGATTATATTTTATAATGATATCTTTTTAAATTACGTAAACAGTTATACAAGACGTTTTTTGAGAAGATTGTTGATACCAACATGGCTCCTCTTATCACATCCCTCATATGCATTCTCATCATCTACAGTTTGCAGAAGTGGGTGAGTCCTAAGATGAGGAAAGCTATTAAGATTCCTCTGCCAGCGGAACTCATAGTTGTAGGTTTAATTTATTTTACCTAGAAATCATCTAAACAAAAGTTATGCTATTAATTTAAACACTAACTCTAGAAATGTTTTAAGAAAAAAATTAAACTAAAATTTGTAACTATAAATTTTCCAACAGTTGATTTTTGGCACATTGATATCACATTATTGCAAATTTTCAAGTCCTCAGGTTTTTAACATGAAAGTTGTTGGGAAAATTCCTCAAGGGTCAGTTCTTATATTTATTACATTTATTATTTATTATATTCATTATAAATTTATTATGTTATGTGCACCTGTTGTGGTTATGGCCGATACGATGATAACTTTCTTGGTCTCATCGCCATTACGATCCAATAATTTTTCTAAATACCATGTGCCACAAAATATTTACCATTCTTTTGAAAAACTACAATTTGTTGATAAATACTAACAATCAGTAACGTGTAGCTAAAACTTAAAGAACGGATCATTTTTTATGTACTAAAAGATCTTTGTCAGGTACGATTTGTGCTTCTATGGAGTTTTATTGAATGGTATTGTTGGGGTTGTGAAGGACCATAAGCAATTATAAATCAAATTTCAGCTATAGGAAAAGTTTTCATCGTGGTATTTAATTGAAAACATTCTTATCCAATTCCAATGAAATTATGTCTGCGCCATTTATTTAATTTCTACCATCTAAGAAAATATAATTGAATTTTTACTTTAACATTAAAAATAAAAAAAAATTAATAAACAATTAAATTTCCTAACGAAATTTGTTTTTTCCCAATTTGCTACATTTCTTTTTTTAAACGATACAATCCAGAAAAATTTTTTTTCTGACATAATTTTTCTACTTACTCGTTGTTGTGTTGATGGACAAATTTTTTAAATTTGTAAAAATTAAAAAAATTTCACGATCATTTTTTTAAGCATATTTTCTAAGCTAAAAATTTATCAGGATGTTTGTTCAAAACAAAAATTAAACTTCTCATTTAAAAAAACTCGTTACTCGCTGAATGTTATAGAAGTTTGTTTTTTTTCGAATGGCTTATGTTGTTCTGTTACTTTGTCATTTCTACATAAATCAATAATTTAAAACTTGGACTTGTATTGAATGCAGCATACCCTTTCCGAAGCCTCCCAACCTTCTGCTTATCCCGCAAGTTGCCCTGGATGCGTTTGCAATTGCTGTTGTATCATTTACTATCAACATATCAATGGCGAAAATGTTTTCCAGCAAGCATGGATACAATCTCGATAGCAATCAAGTTGGCGGTTGAATTTCATTCTAAGCCTAAGATTTTTTTCAGTTTAATTATTTCATTTAATTTAATAACATTCTTTATTTCCACGTTTGTTTTAATTGTAATTTGTGTCAGTTTGATGGTTTGTCTGGCCATTCTATAACAACATAACATAACATAATATAATAACAATGGACTCAAACTCTACTGAAAATTTTGAAGCTAATTCTCTGAAAAGTTATATTCAAACTTCGATTATATTAATCCGGTCGATTGTTTTTTGAAGTCTTATGGGTGTCATTGGCGTATATGTCATGCTATTTATACTAACACAATTAACTACAACTCCTAAATTCCCAATACGTGAATACCAAATGCATGTTAAAATGTGCGAGAGAGATTATGTTAAAATGTGCGGGAGACATTATATAGGATTTATGATTTATTTTCTTCACAAATGAAGCTTTTTCATAATGATACAAAAAATTTTCAATATTATTACTGAAATAGGCAAAAATTGTTATTTGAATGAAGGAGCTGATAGCCTACGGGATATCTAATATTGTCTGTTGCAACCTGAACTCTTACGTTAGTACGGCGTCTCTGTCGAGATCTCTCGTACAGGAATCAACAGGCGGAAAAACACAAGTAAGTGCTGGTGGAGGGGTGTTCTTTGTATTGATCTCTAGATAGGATTGTTTTTGAATGAAATGTTAACGTTCTAGAAGACTCCTGATTTTTTTTATTGCATATTATATGATTAGAAATTTTTAGATGTTAAAAATAGGAGATTAATGTTCTTTTTGTTGACTGTTACCATTGTCCTAAATGTTTATTCAACCTACCGACACATTGTTTAGACATCGAGTTTTATGTCACGCTCTAAATGACACAAAACTTGATGTGGTAAAATATTTTCGATATTTTGGTGCTTTAAACCTATTTATAAAGGTTGTTGCGTGAATGTATGTTATATGAACGATTGCATTACATTGCAACTGAGCTGATAAACATTATGTCCACATACAATTCCAGATTAAACAGTGAATAATAAATACCGATTAGGTTGCCGGATTGGTATCGTCGTCGTTATTATTAGTTGTTCTGCTTTTCATTGGACCACTGTTCCACGATCTGCCTAATGTTAGCAATTAATTTTTTTTAGTTCTTTCAATGCTTTTTTAATTTATTTGTCAAAAATTTCAATTGACAGTGCATCTTGGCCGCAGTAATTATTGTGAATCTTCGAGGCATTTTTCTTCAGGTATGCGATCTTAAATATCTCAGTAGGATCTCTAGAGCAGATATGGTTGGTTTAATAAATTTATAAGTTAATTATTATATTTACGCTTCTACAGTTAGTTATAATTTGTACTTTATGGTTTGGTTATACATAACATCTTAAGCAATGTTTATTATTATTTGTGAAATCGAATTAAAATTTAATTGTAACAGAAATACGTTTGCCAACAAAACCATGGGAGAAAATATAACTTGTTGTTCGATTAAAAATTGCTTAAGTATCAATACTTGAGCCTTGAGTAATTATTTTATCATGTTTGAAAAATATTAACTGCTTTTTATACTGACAGAACTGAATTGTTCCATCTGTCTGTTTGTTTCATGTCTTGTTTAATAATCATTTAGTTTCCATTATCACATATCTTAAAAATTAATTTATTAATTTTTCAGTTTTAATTTCAATTGATAAATAATTTTGATGGTTATTTGAAGTTCACGTGGTTAGTTACTTGCTTAGGAGTCGTACTGACTGATGTTGATTTTGGATTGCTCGTTGGACTTGCATTTTCATTTCTAACCATTGTGCTCAGGAATCAAATGTCAGTGCGTTTTCTACAATGATTGATGTGTTGTGCAATATTATTTTTAACAGTTGTAACACAGCATTTAGTTTAGACATTTACAATGTATCTATGTATTTGTCTTGATCATTTTTGAACACGTCTGTCTGTCTGTCTGTTTGTCTGTCTGTCTGTCTGTCTGTCATCCCATCACCATTATACAATCATTCTACTGTACAATTTTCTCACTCCTTCTATGTTACCAACCAGCTAAATTGAATTCCAATTGAATGGTTGACTTCGTGGTCCTGCGTCTGTAGTAAAATTTTATAAAGGAACTTAGAATCCAAAAATGTGGTGTTTAATCATTAAAATGCTCTTGTGAATAAATTTTAATTATTTACAATATATGCGGTGAATAAAACTTTCCGATGAAAATGCAAGAATTAACCATTAGCCTTAATTAAATTAATTTCATAAATAAGTTAATTAATAAATAAAACTGAATAATAAATTTATATTTATAAAGAATGTAAACGAGAAATGAAGGTTTTTTACACATTATTTATCATTCGGGTCGATAACATTTATACATGGAATTGATGAATTAAACTTTAGTAATCTTTTTCAACCTACTTTTCATATAGATTATAAATGTGTGTATATAGAGGTACGTATATTAATCTATATCTATATGGAATATTTAGGTATTCATTTTAGTTGTGTTGAATCCTAAAATCCTTCATTTTTCTTGGCAAAGTCTTTCTTTTTACAAAACGTTTTTCTTACAGTTACATGGTGAAATCGGTTTTTCAAATTTACTGAACTGTCAACCAAAGAAAGAGTTTACACACCAAAACAAATGTAGTTAAAATATTCAATCAGTGTAGTGATCAAAAAGTTTGATTAACGAACGAACAGACAGTTCAAAACTTTTAATATAGTCTAATTCTATGTGAATACAAACAGCGTCAAAAACAACAGTAGTTCTCTGTTTTTCAGGAAGGTTACTACAACTTACGATAAGTCCAACTCTGTCCAATCTAGTTGTGCTGAAATATCTCTGCCGTTAAATATGCATTTTAGTTACTAAAACACACACACAATACAAACCTACTCATTATCGCCATAGTTATAAGATATTGTGGGCGCTTCAAAGTCTCAAAAATACCAATCAAATTTTTTAGCGATTTTTTTAAAAATAACAGCTTTTTGGTATCACTTGTTATTGCTTATCTATTCTTTGATGTGCTCACTTTAAAACGTTCCATGCACACAAATGCTTTCTGTGAAGAATGACTCAAAATTTATATACAACCTTCTTTCTGATTTTATATATTTTTTCATTTATCTAAGATACCTGCAAAATTATTAAAAAAACTGATATGTTATAGGAGTTTTCGTTATTAACTTTATAACTAATTTATAAAGATTTATTTTTCTCTTACGTATGACAGCAAATTGTTTGTTTTCTTATATTTTTTTTTTGTGTAGAACAAAACTGCAAAGCCTGGGTAACATTCCAGGTACAGAATTATACGAGGATGTTCTAGATTATCATGAGGTTCTTATAATTATTTTATTTTTGTAGTAAAATGGAATCATTCATCGGGTGAAACTAAAATTGATGAATGTTTTTAAAATTTACAAAATTTTTACATTAAAGATTCAATTAATTATTTTATTAAAAAAATCGAACAAATTGTTGAATAAATTACCTTACTTTTTGCAAATATTTGAATTAATTATCATTCGTCGGCTTGTACTGGCATTCCATTTTGGTAGTTACGGTCGAACATGATTTTTTGATATTACGCGAGATAATGTAACATTTTGTCATTTGTGGAATAAAAGAGAAACAAAAATATTTAAAAAGAAAAAAATGAAGAATTTTTCTATGATTAAATTGCATAGCAAAATTGATGTTCTTGTAGCAAAAACTGATTGAAGATGATATTATAATACCCATGAAGACAAAGAAAATTTTGTATGATAAGGTGTTTTGATTGCAGACAGAATTTGAAGAGGTCAACGCTTAATAAAACAGCAATGCGAAACATGACGCTATTTGAGCCTACTCGGCAACTAACTCTAATTGAAAAATATTACATTAAGAATAAATTTCAGTGTACTATTCACAATTGATGTTAAAAATTATCTATTTAAATCCCTCAAATCATTTGTTTGGCTTAAAAATTAGAAACCACCACAACGCGTTAAGGTGACTTAACTCGATTGCTTTGAGATAACTCCCCCATCATACATGTCCAAAGCGAGTTGCCCCATCATGTCTAATGACAACCTCCATTGCATTGAGGAGTCAGATTTTTCAAACGATTTTCACATAAGCGGCTTTACACATTGCGTAAATCTCCGAAGATTGCCTAAATATTGAATAAAATTATTAAATAAATCTTTTTATAAGTTGTTGAAGTAATAGAATACATGATAATTTAAATGCAGGCCAAAGAGATAAATGGTATCAGAATATTTCGCTTTAAGAATTCATTATTTTTTGCAAATGCTGAATACTTCCAAACCTCCATGGAACAACACATGAAGAAATACGTGACTAAAAAATCTGTTCATATATCAAATGAATTATGTCATACTACTTTAAAAGATTCAAAGGTTTTTTGTTGTGTCGGGAGGAAAGGCAAGAAGATGATAAAAATTCACGAAGATGAAGATAGCGCGAAGAATCTTAATTTGGTTGGTTCATTCCACTTGCCAAATGTTTTAATTTGGATTACCTACTCAAAAATTATTTGTCATAATTTGTTGTCAGACTTGTTTATCACGTAACTTTTTAACCAATTTTGCATTCAAGTTATAATGGTACAGTTAATTATATGGTTTAACAAAAATTAATGTTTCTAGTTGGTTCATAATATAAAAAATGATGATATTCGAATCTCAATGGAACACATCACTACCAATCTCCACGTTTTCTCACATCACTTGAAACTTTTATTTTAGAAAACCTGTTGATCATTTTTTTTTTTCGCAACATAAATCTTTGCCAATTCTATATTTTTATATTATATATTCTATATATATATATATATATATATATATATATACCAATACAAATTGTAATTTATGTATATGTTTATATATATATTTTAAATAAAAATAGTACTCTTGTTTGATCTTGCAGCCTGTAAACAGAATGCAGTCAGAGAATGCGAGTGATCAACTGGTTTCGAGCGACGTTAACGTCTGTGATTCCAGTAACGTCCCCATATCTGCTCACTCTGACAACACCGTTCAGAAGTTGGTAGATGATGGTGACAATCAAGATATTAATGATAAGGTAGACGTACAAAACGAAAATGGTTGTGGCGTGAAGGATGTTATTATTGACTGTGGAAGCATGACATTTATCGATACTGTGGGAATCGCGACTCTCAATTTGGTTAGATTATATTTTGTATGATTTAAAAGCACTCAGGAAAATGTCCTCATTTTTATCTTTGGTAATAATGATATTATCGCTTGTTTCTAACTATTATTTTGTTTCATGTATTAAAACTTAATTTGTGGGTTTATTGCACAATTTCTTGTCTAATTTTTCAGATAACCGACGAACTATACAAGAAAAATATCTGCCTTACGTTGACTCGATGCAGTGGTAAATTTGACTTAATTTTCTCTCAACATAACTTTTAACAATTTTTATCAGTATAAAAATCCATTTCCATTTGATGTATGTAATTATTAACCACAATTATCATGGAATCACGCGATAGATGATGTGAATGCTACGTTGAGAATGGCTATGGAAATGAAGAAGCTGAAGAATATTCCAATTTTTGTGACAACTCACGATGCAGTTGTCTATATTTTGAACTCAAAACACAGAAAAACTTCATCTTATTCACAATAAATATCCATCGTCGATGTAATTATTGCGATGACGAGCACGCATTTGAATAGCGAACATTTGATGAGTATTTTTTTACATAACTTAACATGAATAGGCGTTTATTTGCAAACATTCGTTTTTTAATTTTATCTTATCAATCGTGATTTAAAATTTTGTTGGACAGTCTTATTTACAGTAAACGAGAAAAATCAAATTGAACTTTCTCACAGTAAGACAGTAAGCAGAACAGATCTTTCATATTTGTTGCGTGAAATATTTATTCAAAATTGTTACAGCGTTTGTGATATATTGATGAACACACACACACACACATATATATATATATATATATATATATATATATATATATATATATATAATCAAATATTTATATATATTATCAAATATTTATGTATCATATATATAAATATATGTTTATATATATATATATATATTATATATATATATACATAATATATAATAATTGTTCAAGATTTATATCTTTGAAATTCTGAATTTTTTTCGTTTTTGGAGTTTTAGATAATGATACATTAAAATCAAAAAAAGTATAGATAGAAATTTCCTAAGGGAACAAATGGATTAAAAATGGGTAATTAGAATATAAAAATTCCAATTCACAAATAAAAACAAGTACAAAAAATCGCTTGAAGTTAAAAATTGAAATAACAATGTAAATTTATTATTTGAACTGTTGAAAAAGAACAACCAGTTTCAAATTCAATAAATGGAAAGTGTGCCAGGGAATTCTGGAGAACAGACAATGACAATAAAAATTATACAGGTCAATCTTAGTTGTGTTACTAAACAGCTCTCTTAAATATTGCAGCTACCGATGGACAGCACTAATGCTCCATATAATGAAAAATTAAAATAAATAAACTATCTTAAAAGAACGACTGGAAGTAGTTAACATCTGAATGAAGAGCAAGCGGGTTTCAAAAGACGGAAAACGATCACTCAAATTATGATATTGAGACTGATGACAAAAAATATTGATATTCCTGAGACTCCCTCTTAAGGAAGCCTTAAAACCTGGAATTGGATTTTTTTTATTATGCAGATAGTTTTCCAACACTTTTGTTATGATCAATACCAACGAATGCTTTGAAAAGATCAATGAAAATTTCAGGCGTCATCAGTGGCGGATCTAGACAATCTTGACGTAGGACATAATAGCAGTTTTAAAAAAGTTGAAATTAACTTATGGTTTGCTAGTGTGGTCTAAACTGTATAGTCAACGCGCGATATTGAGGATTATTCCAAACTAAACATTTCATAAAATAAAAATCTTATTTAATTAAAAATGAATTAATCATTAATTAGATAATTATAACTCATTGACTTCCAGTAATTAAATCATTGTAGCTCCGTTACCACAAATTGTAAGAATGCATTGTTCGTTTGGATATGAAATTTCACTATTGGTTAAATTATACATGCTAAATGAAATTAGGTACAATTCACAAATGTTTGTCCAAACGTTTAGAATTTTGTGTTATCAATTTTAAGACTCGTTGGCAGAGAAGAGGGTGAAACTAAAAAAAAGAGTAACACACATCATAACGAAAATACCAAGTACCATTTGAAAACTGCAAACTTCAACAAAGACCGATAAGATTAATAACTATATCGACAGATCATTTTTTTCATGTATCTTAATTGGCTCTTTAATTAGAGGAGTTCGAGTTTTTCATTCAAAAAAAAAACACATTCTGCTGAGCATCATAAAACATTTTATTCTTCAGCAATTTTTACAGATTTAAATGCTAGAACGTTCACATCTAAGAATACATCAAGAAAATACCGATTAAGAAATATTAAATTTTCAAATAAATATCAAAACTATTGAAAAGAAGCCCAAAAGCCCTACATGGTCATACCACTGCGTTAAATAGATTGGTGAATGTTTATATGAAGTGAGTTATAAAATAATTTGTGTATACGTTTTGCATATTGTTGTCGTGATTTCATTGACAAACCTAATATTCTTTCAGTTATTTTAAACTGTAAACATCAAAATCTTCAATCTTTTCTCTTTAAATTTTTCAATCAACATTTTTTTCATTAATACATCTTTTCCAACATCATCCAAGCCATCTTCATCGATTCATAGCCGCCCTTGAAGTCAATCCAATCGACGCCATCGGCAAATGAGGCGTGCGTTCCTGGCGCTGAAAAGTATCTTCTATTGAGATTGCAGTTGTGGCAACTTCTGTACCACCAGGCTCCTACGGTTTTTTTAGTTATCTTCATTTATTCAATAAGCCAAAACAGTTTTAATCTGGTGTTTAATTGTTTTAAATTGTTTTTAAATAACTTTTGAACCGTTTAAACATTTGTCCTGATTTTTTTATTGGCATTCAAATTCCATGTTAATAATAATGACATGTTTTTTCTGTTTTAAATGCCAACTCCAATAAAAAAAATATTGTATTTGGCTTTCCGAATCTAATTTTGAAACTACTTAATTTTGTCGCAGTGTTGAAAATACAAAGTATCAATATAAGGAAAACGGATGTTGAATTATGAATTTTTAAGCCTGCATAGAAGAATTAACAAAAACTAATTAACTAATGGATCTTTGAACAACATGTTAATTAAGTAAGCAACCCGACACGCATACAAAAAGGATTGTAAACTCATTTATGGACGTCATGGGGTGAGTGTGATAACATCAGGCTTTGTCTAAAAGTGTTACACATTTCTTAGGCATATTTACAAGCTCATTGGTATATATACGAATGGACAACTGAACCAGCAAAGGAGAGAGGTCTAAGGAAGGAGGTCCATAGGAGAAAAATTTTATCGCAGAGAAGTTGTGTGCGAACTGAAAGCAAATTAGCGATAACTTCCGAAGAGGAGTTTATCACGAAGAATTCTACACGCGATCTGCGAGTGAATTAACGATATACTTCTGAGAAGCGAATACAGCGAAAGACTGAGAATGTACGGCCAAGAAACATCTGACCGGAGAAGTCTAATTAGTGACGATTGGTTTTATTCATTGATTTATTTGTTTTTTAACGATTTTAACGATTGAATTAACGAGTGATCGGTAACAGCAATACACATAAGTGATTGCCGGCATTCTTTTTTGGCAATCATTTGTCGTCAATATATAAATACATATATATATATATATATATATATATATTGGTTTGAGACTATTTGATATGCTGTTTAAAAATAATTGCATGCTCTGTTCGATTTGCAATTGAGTTTTTCAATTTTTCATACGACGAATTTCAGTTGTTTATCAAGTTTGTTCAGTTCATAAAAAATTTTTATTCATTTTTTTTGCATTTTCGTTTAAATACTTGTGTTGTACGTTCCAACATAAAAAGCTTTTTTTGGCAATCATTTGTCGTCATCATTGTTGACTTTAGACATTAGTCAGAAAACTTTATCGGGTATCTCCTTCTTCGGACGGAAGAATTGATAGAATCTTCCATCGTTTGGGCAATAATACATTGGGCGAATGCTCAGGTAGCTACTTCACATTTACTCATTAATTATTTAAATTTTAGTGAATTTTTCTTTAAGCATCATCACCAGTATATTTCAAATTGTCTCCCTCAAAATGAATGAGAATTCCTTCCATCCATGGGTATCTCCTACTTTGGAAGGCATGGTGCAGTGCAGACTACATCGTATCACC